TGAACTATCTCTATTCACACGGCCAAGCCGATATATATATATATATATATATATATATATATATATATATATATATATATATATATATATATATATATATAGAGATATATATATATATATATATATATATATATATATATATATATATATATATATATATATATATATATATATATATATATATATATATATATATATATATATATATATATATATATATATATATATATATATATATATATATAATGTTACGAGTTGAGGATTTAGAATATAGTTAAAAGTCTACCCAGATCCCAACAGGCAACAACAACAAAAAAACAAAGACAATCGGACTATAAAAGGGTAGACAAAGGATGCGAGTTTTTGTTGTGTATAATAAAGTACCATAAATTCCTTAACAAAATATTCAGCTTTCTATAATTTACCCTTAACCATGCTTAACCTAAACATTAACAGTATATACATATTTATACAACATACAATAATTTGAAGCAAGTGGACGTGGGGGAGGCAATATAAGATTACAAATACTTAAGTGTGGAGCTGAGATGGCTGACGAGTAAGGCTGAGTATTGTAGAAGACGGTAGGTAGTCACTGTGCCGTAGGGTAGACAAAGGATGCGAGTTTTTGTTGTGTATAATAAAGTACCATAAATTCCTTAACAAATTATTCAGCTATCTATAAATTACCCTTAACCATACTTAACCTAAACATTAACAGTATATACATATTTATACAACATACAATAATTTGAAGCAAGGTGGAGGTGGGGGAGGCAATACAAGATTACCAATACTTAAGTGCGGAGCTGAGATGGCTGACGAGTAAGGCTGAGCATTGTAGAAGACGGTAGGTAGTCACTGTGCTGTAGGTTTCCAGGATAGGTGATCCTGTGGTCACTTCCCAGAGTGAACTGAACTCTCATCGAACTGGAGCTGACGAAGAAGACTTGTAGGAGGTGACGCAACAACCAGGATATGGAGAAGGGAAACCCCGGAGTGGTAACTAAGACTAGTCATACTCGTGTTTCGTCCCTAGATGGCGTTGCTCGTGGTGCTGGGTAGGTAGATCATGACAATTGATGACGTGGTTCGTAACAATATATATATATATATATATATATATATATATATATATATATATATATATATATATATATATATATATATATATATATATATATATATATATATATATATATATATATATATATAGTGTGTTTATAATGAGATAGAAAACGCTCAACTGTGTTTCAGAATATGTCTACCACTGATAAACTTTCTTACCTAAACAGTACAAGTCACGGGACAGCTCCCAATATTTTTCTTATAAAGAAACAAATGTAAGAACTCAACTAAAACTGAAATGAATGACTTATATGTAACTATGTGATGTAGCCTCAAAGTTGCACAATGATCTTGTTTTTGACTGAAAAATATATTTTGAGATAAGACATTCCTAATCACAACTGTTCTGTGAATAACACTTCGTGGACACTGTTGAGCAGGAAAAAGGTCTTGACATCGTTTTAGACCATCAGTGAAGGCAGTGAAACAAGTTGGAGCAGCAGTCTAAAATATAACCGAAATTTAGAAATAATCAGCCGTAACTTCAAATGCAAAGATCCTGTATAGTAAGTACCTGTAGGTGCTCCTTCTGCTTTTTAAGTCTCGTACTGTATATTATGTATGGAGACCAGACTTCCAGAAAAATATAACATCCTAGGAAGGCTTTTTTTTGGAGAGTTAGCCCACCCGGACACAGGTCACTGACCCACATCAGGCCTGGGGGCGAAATGTAATAAATGTGTAATAATAAAAATAATAATAATAATAATAATAATAATATATGTAATAATAATTAACAATTAATATAATGATAATAATTAATAATTAATAATAATAATAATTATAATTAATAATTAATAATAATAATAATAAATAATAATAATAAATAATTAATAATAATAATAATAATTAATAATAATAATTAATAATTAATAATAATAATAATAATAATTGTCATAATAATTCATAATAAATAAAATTTATGATAAAACAAACAAAAATAAAATAATAAAATAATGATGATAATAATACAGTAACTGTAATAATAATAATAATTTTAATAATAAAGAACTATAAATACAAAAAAGAAAAAAAAGATCAAAAGTGAGAAACGATATATGTATGTTGTGTTGTCAGGTCAGCAACCTGGGACTTGGTCACAATTTTCGTGATGCCATATGGCAGCAGGGTCTACCATTAGACAACACATTATGCTTCCAATATCTTCCCAGGCAGTAGTACCTCCCTGTTTGGTAGCTGCCTACTACCTACCAGATGATTACTGACCTATATGATCTTGATTATCCAATTAGACTGAGGGTCTGAGAACTGACAGCTCTTCTGACATGACAAGACAAAGCGGATCTCGAAAAGACATCACAAGTCTGGAAGGAATAAAAAATGTAAGGAAATATAAATTTGTCGTGATGTCACGCGTCACTAACACGAGTGAACACAACTTCAAGCTCACTAAATTGTCATGAAGACAAATATAAGAAAATACTTCAAGAAAGGGTATTAGACCTAAGAAATAACCTACCAGTTTATGATGTGGAAACGAGAATGGTATTGGGCTTCAAAATAACCCTGTACAAAACTGTCAAGAACACTGGAGGGATCCTACTTAGATTATTGGCCCCCTTCTGTTATTAGGCAAAGTAAGTGAATTAGGCAGAGAATAATGAAACCATAATATTGACAGCATTATGCATTCTTTCATATCATTATATTCTTTGTGATTGCAATATACTTCTTGTTTGATAATGTTTTTTAACTTAGTCGAAAACATTTCTTTGGTTACTATTTTTAAACATTTAATTGCAAGACAATATTTTTTCCGCATTTATATAGGACATTAATGAAAAAGGAATTTATGTAAATTTTTACAACTGGTAAGGATAGATTTAACAGTGACTCATCTCTGTCTTTACAAAATATTTTATCGTAACTTTATTTCATACAAATCTAACACCATTGTTAGAAAATCGCCACTAAAGACACTGCAAATGTCCCAAGCGCCAGACCTTACAAGCAACCAAATTTTTACTCACTTCTGTGTTTTTGGGCGAGAGATACGGTATTTTAACTCTTAACAACCTAACAGGAGCCTAAAGCGTCAAGTAATTAAATAATTCTTCATTTTTTTCTTAAGGAGAACTGTGGGGAGGATTACTGTTGAGTGTGTTGGCGTGGGGCGTGGTTATGTGGCTGCTGCAGAATGCCTGGTGGTGGGTGACAGGAGATCGTGGTGTTAAATTCAGCACAGCCCTCCTGTATGGCTGGGCCGTGCTATTAGAACGGCCGACCTCAAACCCTCCCGTCAATGACTCAGGCAGAGTAAGTCTTTCTATCTGCTAATTTTGTTCCTCTCCTACTTTTGAGTGGGTGGATCAAGGAGTACAGAAGACTCTGAGAAGGGGAGACACATTTCTTAGAGTGGAGTAAGATAATTGTAGAAAGCAACAGGAAAAGGATTTAACATCCACACACATTTCATCCATATTCTCAACTTACATACACAACAGTATACAGTAAGTGTACCACCCACACTAGTTTACAACGCTTCATAAACCAAATCATAGGTTAACATTTTCACCTGATGGATGACAGGTTCCTAGTCATTACCTTTATGTTTACAGGTAGATGTGGGTGGCGGATGCTTGATCATCACCTTCACTTTATGCTTACAGCTGTTGGTAGGATGGTGGCTGGTGTTCTGTCTGGTCGTCACCACAGGGTATCGTTCGTCTTTAATTGCTCACCTGACAGTCCAGGGGAAGTCCCAACCACCTGAAACCTTTGAGGATTTGGTGTCTCTGGACAACTGGAAGTGGGGTACCCAGTCTTGGATGCTAAAAGGATCGCCCGGACAATATTTCTCGAGGCACACTGACCCTGTCGTTCAAGAGATAAATCGAAGAATGGAGGCAAGTAAACTTAACTGTGAATTCCATAAAAAATATGGGGCCATGAAGTAGTTTAAGTTAATTGGGTCAATCAGGGGGATGGGCTTGTCCTATAAACCCTTATTAATTAGTATATATATATATATATATATATATATATATATATATATATATATATATATATATATATATATATATATATATATATATATATATATATATATATCAGGGTTCTCAACCAGGGGTAAAAACTGATTCGGGAGCAATAGATATGTTCGATGAGAAATCAATCACAGAATTTTGGCCCTTGATGTGCGATTCCTACCCAAAAGTGGCAGAAAGAGCTATCCGTGCATTGCTTCCGTTTGTGTCGATATATCTTTGCGAGTCAGGCTTTTCAACTCTGTTGCAAATTAAAACGAAGCAACGTAGTAGATTAGAGGTAGAAAATGACCTGCGTTGTGCCCTTTCAAGCACTCCTCCGCGTATCCCAGAATTGGCGAAGAAAAAACAATCACAGGTTTCTCATTGACTGTAATCTTCATCTGAATAAAATTAATTACAAATTTACAATATCCTGGTATTCTATTGAACTTTTTGTTTATTGCATTATTCAAGTTTTATAAATCCATCAACATTTTCAATTGGCATTTAATTTGTAAAACTCCACTATAAAAATAATCCATGTAAAATTGTAAATGTATATGTACTAATATGGAAAAAATAAAGGTTTTTCAGTATTATATGCATATTATTTGGAATGCACTTTTTGAGGCAGACAATCTTGGAAAGGAGGGGGGAATGACATCTGACATATGGTGAAAGGGGTGCATGGGGCAAACAAGGTTGAGAACCACTGATCTAGATCCTAGATCCATGAGTATATGTGTTATTAAAGCTATGTGTTTTATTTGTTCTCTGGCTGACAGTTACTGAGGGACTGCAAAAGGTGATAGAAGAAAACTCATTCATCACTCCCAGATTTTACATTACTGTCGTCATCGATTCCCACTACACCGACAGCTA